TGAGCTGCAGAGGTCGGATGGCACATGCAGGTAGACCAGCCAGGAGGGAGTTGCAGTAGTCTAGGCGTGAGATGACAAGAGTCTGGACCAGAACCTGCGTCGCTTTCTGGGTCAGCTGGGGACGTATCCTCCTGATGTTGTAAAGAGTTTATCTGCAGCAGCGGGTTGTAGCAGCTATGTTTGCAGTGAAGGACAGTTTGTTATCTAGGGTCACACCTAGATTCCTTGCAGTCTGAGTCGGGGAAACAATAGAGGTGCCGATGTTGATTGTTAGATCAAGAGTGGGACAATCTTTTCCCGGAAGGAAAAGCAGTTCAGTCTTGTCAAGGTTGAGCTTGAGGTGGTGAGCAGACATCCACTGAGAGATGTCAGATAGACAAGCAGAGATGTGTGCGACGACCTGGGTCTCTGAGCGGGGAAAGGACAGAATTAATTGGGTGTCGTCAGCGCTCCTTGGTATGAAAAACCATGCGGCCTAATGACTGATCCGAGCGAGTTTGTGTACAAGGAGAAGAGGAGGGTACCAAGAACGGAGCCCTGAGGGACCCCTGTAGTTAATTGAGAAGGGTCGGACTCCGACCCTCTCCAAGTAACCCCGTAGGTGCGGTCTTTGAGGTATGAGGTGAGGAGGGCATAAAAAGCTACATAACACACAAGGGGACGGGTAATAACCGGAAAAGCATGACATGGTACCTTTAAATAGCTTATGTCAATTTAAAGGATACATTGCAATTTTTTTTGGTCATATTTGTATTTTGGGATTCTACTGGAACACATAGTTCATTGTTAAAAAAAACGACATTATTCTTCTCATAATGTCTGTCAGAATACACCTGTATTCACCCTTGATCTGAAACACTCTGTTTTAGCACCTGTCTCTTTAAGCCCAGTCTGCTCTGATTGGCTTTGAGAAAAATAGAGTGCACCTTTGTTAAGGTAGTTCTCACGTTGTTAGGTGGAATATTCCAATGAGCCTGCATAGGAAGGGGAACTTAATCTGAACAGCTTGTTGAATCCCTCATCAAGACAATCTACAAACACTGACTGGGTTGTGTTATTCCAAATGTTGTGGACTAGGCACTCCAGATACCACTCGAGCATGTGCAAAAGCACTTAAAAAGTGAATTCACATGATATTTCCCTTTCAAAAATCTGCCTTATCCATATTTTGGGGAAACCTGTCCTAAACCTCTCTGTCATTTGCTATCAAATGCTTTATTTACCTATTTCTCAAAAAAGTAGTAGTCATGATGAGGCATGGCCAGATTTCTTAATTTAACCCGGATATTCATCAGATCAAACAACTGTAATTTGAAAAGCTATTTCCAACAGAATTTTAAAAAAATCATAATCTTTTAAAACAAATCAACACACATGCTCACTGTGCTCTCATCATTTCTCCAGCATGCCCCCACCGGGGAGCCCGGGCCCTGACACAGCTCTGGCCCTCACCCTGGCCCTCGCCCTGGTTGACAGTCTGCTGCTGTGTGTGCTCCAGGAGACGCTGCCAGACCCCGGCGTGCCACACATACAGGCTCTGCTCTTCAGGCTGGAGGTAAGAGGGAGAAAACCTCCCTGAAGAATCAAAAAACCCTCTCACATACAGAGCAGCCTCCAGCAATACCTGTCATCTCCTGTGTTCTCAGCCTTTGTTGGTGATATTAGATCAGAGCTTGCACTCAGGCATTCACAGATATTCTAGCCCGGGGCAAAACTCTCTGTTGCTGTCGTGTGAACTCAAACACGTTGGCAGAGGAGAAAAATATTAATGCTATGTCTCCTTCTGTATTTCCTGTCTGCACATTTGCACATACTAAGAATGTGTTCCTATGATAGCAGTTAGCCTATTTGGCCATAATCCTAGTTTACTAACCCCCAACAAGTCCAGTGGTACAGCTGTCGTTTATGACATATGAATATTTCAACAACTAATGATAGAAATCAGGTTTTTTGTCATCTTAATTCTAACAATGTGCTTACATACTGGGGTAATTGGTCCCTCATTGTGGCACCAGCATCAGACTCATTGAATTTGCCAGGAGAATTACATCCTCTAAAGATGATCATAATCCCCCCTCCAATGATTCTTTTCTGAGGTCATTTATTTCAAAATTGTCTTATATTATGGTTATTCTCTGGGTGAACCTTTTTTTTAATTAAATCTCAACTAAACATTATTTTTGTCTGAAAATGTGTCTTGAGACAGTTTCATGTGTACAGCAGATGTGAACGGATATAAAATGCAAGTAGATTCCTTGCACACATCCCCAAGTAATGTTATGTGAAAGCATTATGTGCAAACAAATGAAAGTGACTTTAGCTTGATGTATTTATCCCGATCGCTGCAAAGCCACATGATGGATACATTTTAAGTGCCAAACCAGACAAACCCACAAACTAAACCCTGACCCTCTGAATCCTCCTTTTGGCTCTAGTCAGTGTCTCACTCACTTGAGAAGGCTGATATCAGGTCTGAGTTGCACCAGGACTCTATTCTGGCAGACAAAGTGAAGATTATCCACACCTACCTGCAGCAGAGGTGAGTTCAACATATAGTATACATGCTTCCTGCTTCCTTGGAAACTTTGCTCAGTTGGATTAACATCTCCTCTCCCTTCTGTTAGGATGAGGTCACTGCGTAGACTCGTGCAGGTGCAGGGGGATTTTGAAGCCAGTGTGAAAGACATGCTGGAGGGTCTTGGAGGTCTCTGGGCTCAGCTGGAGGAGCTGCACACCGGGGTCACACTCACCAAAGAGGGGAGCCCCGGAGACCTGGCCTCGGCCCAGACAGACGCAGAGGTGAGCAGGTGTGAAGGTGTAGTTTTCCAAAGTTAAAGGGGAAGTATTATCAAAAAACTCACTTTTCACTGCACACACATTTGGGTATATGGAAGGCCTACTAACCGACTATGTGTGAAATAAAAGCACCTTAACATTTCTTATAACCACATGAGCAGAAAATAAAAAAAATGGGGACTTTTACAGGGTTTTTTCCAACAGACATTATGTTAAAAAAAATTTGCGCTTGATTAAAGCATGTAAACATATACAGTAGAAACCCAAAATACAAATATGTCAAAATAATCTGATAATCAGTAGGTTCACAGATGACTTTAAATAGCCAGTGACGTAAGGCAAGGCAAGGCAGGGCAAGTTTATTTATATAGCACCTTTCAACACAAGGCAATTCAAAGTGCTTAACAAAAATGAAAGACATTAAGAAAATGGCATTTAAAATCAGTCATTAAAAAGCAAAGGTAATAAAATAAACATTAAAAGAAAAAATGCGTGGATAAAAGTTACAGTGCAGTTTAAGATGTGAATAGTTCAATTAAAAGCAGCGACAAAAAGAAAAGTCTTTAGTCTGGATTTAAAAGTAGTCAGAGTTGCAGCGGACCTGCAGGTTTCTGGGAGTGTGTTCCAGAAGACCTGAGAGATCTGGATGGTTCATAATTTAGTAGGTGGTCAGAAATGTATTGAACCATTCAAAGCTTTATAAACCAGCAGCAGTAGTTTTGAAATCTATTCTTTGACACACAGGAAGCCAGTGTAAAGACTTCAGAACAGGAGTGATTTGATCCACTTTCTTAGTGTTAGTGAGGACTCGAGCAGCGGCTTTCTGAATTAGCTGCAGCTTTCTAATAGATTTTTTTAGTGAGACCTGTAAAGACACCATTACCAGTACCAGTCTACTGAAGATAAAAGCATGGACAAGTTTTTCCAAATCCTGCTGTGACATTAGTCTTTTAATCCTAGATATATTCTTAAGGTGATAGTAGGCTGATTTAGTAACTGTTTTAATGTGACTGTTGAAACTCAGGTCAGAGTCCATGACTACACCTATATCTGGCTCTGTTGTTTTGAACATTGCAGACTGAAGCTCAGCGCTAACTTTTATACGTTCTGCCTTGGCTCCAAAAACCATTACCAGTTTTGTCTTTGTTCAATTGGAAAAAGTTCTGACAGATCCAGTCATTGATTTGTGCAATGCACTTACTCAGTGTTTGAATTGGAGTATAGTCTCCTGGTGAAATTGTTGCGTACATTTGTGTGTCATCTGCATAGCTATGGTAACTTATTTTGTTGTTTCTCATTAGACGTACACATACACACCTCTATAGAGGCGTGCACACAACTTCACACGGCACACACACGCCCACATTTACCAACAGTGACATAGTGACAAGCCTACAATCAACACACATTCCTGCCCCTACTTGACCTTTAATTGTTCTCTACAACAAAAACAGCTGTCTTTTGTTTTCCATTTTTTTTTAAGAGCCATGAATTGTCCTCACCTTTTGTTGTTGTTTGTAATACTCTTGTGTCTCTGGCAAAGAATCTGTTTGCAATCTTGGGGCACTACAGGAACAGACTGCAATGCTGCCAGGCTCACCTGAAGGACAGCACAGCGCTACTGCAGGTGAATTTCTCCTCATGTATAAAAAAAGAAATCCTCTGAATTTTTCCTCCTGTCTTCACTCAGAAATGTCCTCTGCCCTTTCCTCCAGGAGTTAGCCTGGAGTCACACTCATATAAGAAACAACGTGAGCAGCCACAGCGAGTCAGTCTGGCCGGAGCTGCTGCTTCAGACAAACATTGAGCAGGTACACTGAAACTCAAACACTGTTCAGATGTTTCAAATAACGACCCAGGACTGAAAACTCTCTTTTTCTTCGCAGTTTGACAAGGTGCAGGAGGGTTTCCTCTCCCTGGAACAACAGACCACTACGTTCCAGGCCCACCTGGAGGGACTCAGTAAGGAGAGCCAGGAGGGACATGCGGGGCCCCTCGCTGACGGGGCCCATTCACGCTCAGTGTCTCCACAGACTTCCCTACAGCTCCACAGTGATACAGAGCGCAGGAACTCCACCTCTGCCTCCATCTCTGTCTCCTCTATGGATGTGGACACGGAAACAGAAATGGACGGTCCTCTGACACTTTTTGAGAGGTCAGCGCTGAAGTTCTCCTCCACCATCAGACGGCTGCGTAAATCTGGGAAGAGGAAGTAACTTTTTAATCGGATTTGGAACACTCACTAGAGCTTTTATAAAAAGAACGGTTTTAATTACCACGTGAGAATATCTTCAAATGTTGATCATTTGCTAGTTGCCTAAACAATCGTATTTATTGCTTCCTGTGTTTACATTCTCTGGCTTTAAGAGTTTTACTACTTCTGTTGCTTTTGTTTTTTTGCATTTCAAATACTCTTGGTAGGCAACAGCAGCCTTTTCATTTACAGAATAGTTCAAACACAAGGGGGCGCACTGTCACCAGATATTACCTTTGGTTGTTACAAGCATAAAGGACATCTCACATCACCTATTCCATTATACTGTCAGACCTATCATATACCATACAGCCATGTCAGCTCTGCATTGAGGGAATGTTTCCCAGACGTTTTATTTCAATCGACTCTTTAGGAGGAAATCGTTTGACATGTTCCTCCAACATGTGGCCCATAAATGAGTTTCTGTAAGATCAGAGCAGTCAACCACAACTTGCGTCTGAAGAATTTTATAATGTGAAGAATGAGAATCAGCCATATGTTTTTTACAGTAAATTACTTGCACGTACTGAGTTCATTACGCATTTGTACTTAAACAGAATCATGTAAAATGGATGATTTATTTTTTCATCATTGTGGCTGTGAAGTCTTATTTTGTGTATAATTTCCTATGATTTGATGTTATTCTATGTCCAGGAGGAATAGGTTACAGGTTAAGAAATCCCAGCTTTTCTTTTTGTACTGCCTCTCTCCATCAGACTGAGTGGCCGCGATGCCTTGAGCCCTTCAAAGCAGGGATTTCGGGGTGAGGGCAGAGGGGGGGGAGAGGAAGGTGGAAGGGGGCAGTGGAGGTCAACGCCGGAAGCGTTTCTGTTATTACTAAAAACTGAGCAGCCCTCTAGACCTTTTTGAAAGACATGAATGTCTTTGATCCAAATTCAATTACCCTGCAGCTCCGCCACTGATGGCAGAGAAGTCGACACAGTTTTCCCCACCAGATTCCAGACTTTTCTGACCAAGCCAAGGAAGATTTTTGATGAGTATTAATTCATTAATGTTTGCCATTAAAGGTCGCTTTATTATACTGTTTTTCATCAATATATTATAGGTCTCAGATATATACAAAACATGTCTGTGAAGTGTTTGGCTCGAAATACCAAACTGATCATGCATTGTAGCATCCCATAATCCCCTCTGTTCCAGGCCTGTTTCAAAAGCGCTGATTCTCTCTCTTTTACTTGAGATGAAAATAAGGAGCCACTCCCAACGCCCCTCTGCGAGATATTAAAAAGAACGCTATAGGCGCATTCACACCGGAGTACTTTTACCCGTACTTTTCCCGTTTTGTTCCCATAGTGCCTGGAATTTTGCGTTCACACCAAAAAGAGAACTTAGTTCAGAGAACTTTTACCCCCATTTGTAGTCCCTACTAGAGAGGTGGTACTAGCCTGGGGAGAAAAAAGTACCAATTTCGATTGGCTGGGCGAATTGCAAACCACTCCCCGTAAAACTCTGAAAAGTTTTGTGAAGCCGCCATTGTATTTGCGGGCATTAGCATTATTAGCATTAGCATTAGCCCCGCGCACCAACGGAGAGAGAATAATTTATGGCAACACAAAAAAAAACATGGGAGCGGTGGAGATTAGGAGGTGTCGGCGTTCTGGCGATTTACTCGGAAGGAGCTGCTGGGACTCCCGACTGAAGCCAGTCCCCAACTCCGGGGACTTCCGGCCGGGAACTTCGGGTGGCAGTATACGCCGTGAAGTGGTTTGCGGCCTGCCAGTAAACCCAAAGCAGAAGAATAAGAAGTGGCGTCAGCGGCTTCATTTGCGTAATCTTCCCTCAGGAAATTTGTTCCGGTGTGAACGCGATCTGTACTTAGTTCCATGGGGGTACTAAGTGCTGGCTCTAAGTGCGGAAAAATACTTGGTGTGAAAGTGGCTAATCGCGCTCTCGGAGGAGATTAAGGTGATAAAGTGGGCGGGTGTTACCTTGGTTGGTTATTGGCTAATGGTTACACAAGCCAAAAGATTGTTGTGACATCATAAAGTGGCCAAAATCTGATCAGCTCAAGCCAGTTGAGTAGCACTTGAAATGTGTTGGCTCTATGAAACCTGATGTACTTATATGATTCTGTTTTCTTCAAGGTTGTATCTTCCTGGTCGAATGTACTTATTGTAAGTCGCTTTGGATAAAAGCGTCAGCTAAATGTAGTGTAATGTAATGTAATTTAATGTACAGCATGCCTGAGCTGGATGTCATTGGACCATGAACTTGCATGGATCTGCTGGATCCTGCGTCTGTCTGATTCCCTCACACTGGGGCAGTGATTGGGAGAGGTGAGGCGGACCCCTGGGGGATCTGGGATGAAAGGAATGCAAGCTGAACGCGGCAGGATCCGAGCTGTCACAACACCAAACACACCATGTCTGGACAGACGGAGGGGTGAGTAGACGTGAGGGAGGAGAGATGTTGTGTTTTTGGTCATCTTTAAATAAGTGAAAAAGCCTTGAGTAAATACAAAAAGGGAACATTTTATGACACGCCACATGAAAACTAAACACTTTCCACGAATCAGTCATGAAAACACAGCACTCTTAAATGCTCGCACACAATAACAATCACCACATTTACTTTGAGGTCCAACAGTCAAAAGTCAACAGAAGATTTTGAACTGATTTAGTAAGTGCTTTGATGAATGACTAGAAGAGTTTATTCTGTGTGATTGAAAAACAGTGCTTCAAATGCAAAACAAGCCCTGTGCAGATGGAACCATGCCTCACATTGCTGGTGTTTGATGTCACGGCCAGCAGAGGGATGGCGTCTCGGGGAGCAGAGGGCACCGGCTATCTGCTCGCTGAGAATGTAAGAGTGAGCTAATGAAATTACCATAGGCTTTGTTTAGTTACACTAAAAAGTTGATGACTAGCTTCCTCCAGTCCTGGAGGAGAGGCTATTTCAAAGCTAGCTCAAGTGTGTGTTGTTTCAGAAAATATGGTTCATGGCAGAGGTCAATCCCTCGCCTTATCCTGACAATTACTCAAGATCGGGTTTCCCTGGTGTACACATTGCACACATTTGTGCTGATCCCTGCTCTGATGGCACTGAGAGACACCCTGCAGTCGTGTGGACGCCTGCTGTCTGATATAAACACACTTGAGAGCTTGTCAAAAAACTTTCATGCAGTAAACAACAACCTTAAACTCCCATTAAGAGTTTTGCACATTGTCAATGTGCATTATTAGATTAATCAAAATGGTTAGCAGGAAGTTAGTATGTAGACAAATGTAGTTAATGCAAAGCAACTTAATGTCCCTTGGCGATGAAAAAGGGTTTTCTTTTATAAAATGAACTGAATTTAATCTAAAAGTTAACACAGCTTCTCTTCTCTGTGTCATATGTATGCTGTAAATTAAGACTATTTGCATAATTTGGCTGTCTTTTGAAGAACGTATTCATATTTTAAGAATTTAAAGAAAAAACAACCTGAATTGCAAGAAACCTTAATGTAGACAGATAGCAGAACAAGTGAAAAAAGGCAAGTTTTCAAATGTACATATTTAACTTTAACAAATGTTTATATGTTAATTTATATTGTTTGTGTGGAGATTTTACGGCATCAATGTTTGACATTTTAAACAGCTTACACATAAAATGTATTAGTTGTTAGTCAAATGACCATATTTGACACCATTCCCTCAAAAGTGTGTGGATGATGGTGGTCATGTTTCCCTTTTAACTTAATGGCATTTCCCAGGCAAAGTCATCAACAAAGCAGTTTTTTTACAATATGTCGAATTAAAGACATTATTTTGAAGTAAATAAACAAAAAAGGTTGCTTTTTACTTGGAACTGGCAGGAATACTGTACATTTCCCTGTTGGCTGTTGTTGGATTTAAGGGCTCAATAATGGACTTGTTGGAGACTTTGTAGCAGCCACGAACCACAAGTTGGGGCCATTGCCGGTTCCAGTTTGATACGTGACAATAAATAAATAACACACTGATGTAACATCAGCATGAAGAACAAAACTCTGGATACAGAAATACAATATGTTGACCACATTCTTTACTTAAAATGATTCATGTTGGTTTCAATGCTTGATATTTATTTGTCTCCATTTTCCATCGTTTAAAGTGGTATGTCCCTCTGTTTGTGTCCAAACTGAACAGGCATTACTGCTGGCGAGTGTCCGCTTGTTATTATAGTTTACATAAAACCATTGAATGGCTGGAGGCTTAATGTGGATATTTCCTTGTTTGATTTTAGCCAATAAATTAGCAAACTTTAAGACTTGGTACAAAAGGCAAGGTCCTCCTGGTGAATCACAAAGCACGTGCGCTGCTTCTATTTCAGGGCTGGACACAGAGATAACAGAGGGCCATGCCACTTTTAACCAGAGGATGTTGGAAACGGAACGGACAGCTGCACATTGAGACAAAACATCAAAACACCAGCCACAGATGTACGCAATTAGCAACATGGTAGACATTTGGGGAGCAAAGGTACATAAACTCGCAAGTTATTATGGTTGATCTAACATTGCTGGAGGGAAGTCTAAACTCAGCACCATTAAAGGGCTTTTAGTTGGGGCTGAAACATTCCACCGTTTAATGTCAAAGTAGGCTTCTCAACAATCCTTTAATGCCAGTTTTCTATTGTGATACATTTGATTCCAAATCAGTGTATGAGTGTGGTACATGTAGCGCCCAGCGTGTTTCCAATCATTAGGAAATCCTAAGCTTCCTGTTTGTGTAAATATTTTTCTTATTTTGTTTTCCAAGAGAGCAGGGTAGAATAATCAAGCCTGACCTCTCTGCCCTCCTGTTTCCTGACGGTCACGTGCACGCGGGTCACCTTCTGCGTGGACGGGTCTGAGCCCAGAGGTAGCAGCCTGTTGTGACCCGTCTCTCGCTGGTGGGAGAGGTTAGTCAGGAATGGATGGATTCTCCAAAGGTCATGAGCAGCAGCCATTGATACCAATGCAGAACAGCTGTGGGGCGAGTTCAAACCCAGCATGACCAACTTTTTAAACTTCACACAAAGACAAAAACACATAACTCATATTGTCAGATGTATTTTGATCGTTAACTTATTTCCCATTATTCCATGGATTGATAAGATTTACTTGGCAAATATATTTCAAAGAGTTCTTCCAAGTTTGAAAGAAATAATCACAAAGCTTTTCCAGATCTAGCTGTCTGCAACTTTGAAATATAACATGATAAATCATTCAAGGCCAGTTTGTTTCGAAGCGTTTCGAACTGCTTAAAATCCTTCCTCAACTACCTTTGATTCTTCCTTTCTTTTCTCAGTTGGATTTGTCAGTATTCTTCTCTAAGAAATAATTTTTATTATACATATTCTGAGGCATCTCGACCCTAGATACTGTGGCTCTGAACTCTTAATTTCTTTGTTTTAGTTGTTGAAAAAGTGTTTTGATAATGGGCCTGCACTTATCCTCACTCTGTGGTTGAAATAAATACTGGTTAAAAAGAGTTCGGAGTCACTTCAATTGTTTGTTTATTGTTTGTCAAATTGGCGGAGATGTCTTTTCTACAAGGTTAGTTTATTTTCCTCCTCTCAAAGCCCGAGCATGTTTCCTCAGTCCTCCGTACGAGGCACCGATGTGTGAAGCAGCTCTCTGAGGAAAGGCTAAACAAACAGGCTGGCCCAGGCACAAAGAGTCCGCCACTCAGAGACATGTGGCAGCAAAACCCTCTCAATCCACGTCCCCGTCTCCCCCCCCTGCAAGCCACAACTCTGAACCCCTCACACTGCTACCAGA